TCTAATCAGCATCTTTACCTTAAATATAAACAGATTTTTGTTACCTTTTGATGTAACCTAACACTGATCTTGAATGCCGTGTCTCCTGTGTACCAGTCCAGCATATAGTGTATCACTGTGAACTTCACCATAATAGCACAAGCCAACCTGTTTAGCCTGCTCTACAATGCTTTGTTGAGCATTCCGTACCTCCTGTCCTCTTTCTTACATTTTTCTCTATTTTGTGACAAACATATTCCTGTTTGTGTACTTGCTGATATTTGTTCAGAGGCTCACAAAGATGCATCTTAATTTATCTCCCAAGTAAAGACAAAAAAGTTACTGCTTATAGCTCCATTCAGTGCCTCTAGCTAGTTGAGAAGCAGTTTATATCTACACCTTGAACGCATCACACGGATGAGAGGAAAGGATGTGTGGAGGGTTTAAGTGGGCTGTGGGATGTCTTTATTTTCTTGTTACTGAGCAAGTATCTCCATGAAACATTAACTCGTTTGATGGTAACACGTCTTAAGATGCCTTTTGGAGTTAATTGCTCGTTAGTTGACAGCGCCGGAACGCCGGTCCAGATCATTCCGAGCCCACTTTGACCCCTGTTGTTGTGAAAGGGTGCCATCTTCAGACTGAGGAAACTGGCCACTTGTGTGTCTGTGTGTGAGTGTGATTTGATATTACACTCAGCCCATTGCGCTAGCTCTGTTAGACTTCACATATGAGACAGATGTGCAGCCGTGTGTTTCCAGTTAACACAGATTGAAAGTATGTGTGTGCGCGTGTGCTCAGGTGCACATGTGAGTCAGTGGGTGAGATGGGGGAGGGTGTGTGGGGGTAGTGGTGTGTGTGTGTGTGTGTGGGGGGGGTCTCCTGCATGGTGTGAAGTTTATGGTCTGGCCTGTACTTTCTACTGCACAGCAAGATATTGACACTGCGTCCACACCATTTCAGCTTCATGGAAGTAATCACGGCAGAGCTGCCATCAGCAGGATTTATATACGTGGATGTCTTTGATTTTAGGAAACATCCTAAAAACGTGTGTACAGCTCAGATGTTTCCTAACTTAGTTACTTCTGTTTTTCATTTAAATTCTCTTCCTTTTATGTTTTCATTCACAATCGAGTTAGGGAATTAAGTTTAATGGTGCCTATGTTAGGATTGGACCCACACATAAAAAAAAAAGACATCTGTTACATTTAAAAAGTTCTTTGGGTTTAAACGTAAGCTTGAGTGAGCCTGTAATGAGTGACAGCTGAGAGAGGGAGAGGGAGGGAGAGAGGAGGAGGAGGAGGAAGAGGAGAAGAGAAAAAGAGGGGGTGGAGGCAAAGGAGGAGGGAAATGGGACGAGTGAAATGTTCCCCATTACTGGAGTCGAGAAGACAGAAGCTGAGCATGGATTGACCTTAGAGACAGAGAGGAAGAGAAAACGCTTGGTTTTTGTGCGGTCGTCATTTTCTAGCCCCTAGATATTTCTTCTGAGTGAAAGGGAGCGTCACAAAAGGAAGCAGGAAAAAAGTCGTCATTTGCTCCCTTAAAGCAGAAACTAGATAAACGTAACACCTGGAGTGCAAAGTGAGGAGAGGCAGGTAGACAGAGACGAGCGCTCAGTGTGTTTTCCGATAGTGTGTGAGAGACCAGCGAGCCTGCCTGTGAAGGGGAAGCTGGTGGATCGTACAGCTCTGTAATGCTTTGTGGAAGTAAAGGACTGCTAACGGACCCGATTACACCCTGAGGTAAGAAAAGGATCTCTCGGTCTGTATGGACGTGAGTGTGTTTCACGCTCAGAGTAATGCTAGTTATTTTTATTCAAGCAACTGAGATATTTTCTATATTCTTACATAGTTTGCTCATTTGTGAACAAATGTAAGTTGGACATCATTTGACACAGCACTCAGAGAATTTTTAAATGTATGGTGACAGCAGTGTTACTGGATTAACATTTGTTTTACTTAAATAAGACACGCTTTTACCGTAATTCTGTGTAAATACATTTTTCTTTGTGCTTTTAATACAAGGCGTGTTTTATTCTTCATAGTACTGTTTTCACATATACTGCAAAATATTCCACTTGTTTTTTTTTAAATGTTAATGTAGAAAATATAACCTCATCTGTATTTTCCAGTTTTTAAAAAAGTTAAAAAAAAAAAATTACAATTTTGATCAAAGTAGGATAGCGACAGAAATTAACAAAAAAAACCTTTTTTTTTAAATTGTGAACCATAAAATCTTATTTGTAGACAAATGTAGAAATTGTGTTTTTTAAAACCATCAAATATTAAGTGTGTGTGTAACTCACTCATTGCTGATGTGCTGGATTATGTGTTGTTCTTCATTCTCCATCCCTGTTTTGTCTTCCTGCACTGAACTTCCATAATGTATCAAAGAAAATAACAAAAAACTCGTTCAAGCACCATTTTTATGAACACTTTTGGATTCTGTAGTGAACTTTTCTTTTTAGAAGAACAAGCAAGAGAAGGAAACACAACTCTGACTAGACCAAGGGCAGCTTCTGCTTATTTCTGACTCTCACATACGCGTTAATGCTTCTTAAGGCCAAAGAAGGCCTCACGTTATTATTACATCCATTAGATTGAACAAACATCATTAGTTACACAAACACAGCAGTGTATAATTCCCTTTAATAAATCATTGTTATTAGTTCTAATTACCTGTAGCACTTGTATTTTTCCCGTAGGGAGTGCTCGGGCTGCCTAGGTAGTGTTCTAGACCGGTCACCTGGCCAACCAGGTCAAAGGTCACCTATTTAAATGGCTCAGGTGACACAATTGGGGTCTTCGAGCATAGTGGCCACCAAAGAGTGGACTCAGAGGTGTGTCGTTTCAGTATTAGAAATGAAAATTGGTGCATTGTACTACAAAATAAAGGAAGAATAGCATAGACTATCTAAATGCGGGGCTTAGTCATCATTTATTTGCAGCTTTTTTTAATGTGCTGCAAGTTGACATCAATAATGTAGTTTAATAATATAGTCGATGAAAATGGTTAAAGTCTGTATTGATCAAAGCCAAAACAAGTGGAACAAATGAAAGCTGGATGAAACAGGAAAAATAATGCTTTTGATTGTTTTATTATGTTAAAAAGAAATTGTGATGTGATTAGATCAGTAAGAGAGTTGAGTAAAATCAATATGTGGAATCTGTTTAAATGTGAAACTAGTTGTCCTCGATCCGACTGAAAAAGATAAAAGTGGCGAGATGTTAAGAGAGGTGAGAGCCTCTAGACCGCGGTTGACGCGGAGGGAAAGCGTGCGCGGGGATAAAGCACGACGATAAAAGCTTTTCAGGATCAAAGCCCGCGTGTGCTTTCACAGATCATGCCGGGACAGAAACAGTCCGGCTTGTGTATTTTCAAGTGTGTGTGTGTGTGTGTGTGTGTATACGCACGAGAGCTGTGTGTACACCTGCGTGCTGTATGTAGCCCTATGTGTACGTTACATGTGCATTGCAGTTTCTCACGGCCATGACGCTGATGTCGTGAGTGACAGCCTTGTTAAATTTCACTAAAGCATGAAACGTGACATGAAAGTGGCTTGTGTGTGTGTGTGTGCGTGTGTAAAGTGATCCATACTAGGGCACCGGCTAACCTTTGAACCCCGTCTTAAACAGCTAAGTGCTGCTTCTTATTCACTCACAGCAGGACCCTCTAATCAGAACCATAACAGCACAGTGTGTTCTCCCC